AAAAATTATATATATATATATATATATATATATATATATTGACTTATTTTTGTATAAAACAATACTACATATAGGATAGGAAAACACCCCTTTCAAACAGATCCTGTAGGATAAAATTTAGTACAAACCATTTCAGTACCTTTGCTGTGATTGAGCCTGTGTGGATGAGATGCTGATTGTTCTTAATGTTTAGTTGAAGGAGAAGCTGCAGGTCTTCCAGATCGGTCACTGTGACATTTGCCCTAAGGGTGCACATTATTCACATTACTAAAATACTTCTAAATGAACCACATTTGTGCATAATATTTATTACCAGAACAAAGAGGAATGAATCAACATCCTAACATACAACTTTCAGAACATACATTTTCTTTAGCAAATTAAATGACGACATATCACATCTTATTGATTTATTTTTTTCTCTATTAAGATTTTTTAAGAATTATTATTATTTAATAGACATGTTCATAAGACAGAATGTATAGCTCACCCCAGAGTTGCAGCCACGAGACCCACGAGTCCTGTTCAATCGCAACAGAGAGTCAGATTTCCTGCTAATTCTAACTTTTGCCTGTTTTATGAAGTGTAACACCATACATTACAATTAGACAGTTACATTCCTACAATACAGTGACACTGGTTATGTTTTTCAATGTCATAATTATGCCTAACCACTTTCATCTGCAGAACAGTGTTTTTACATTGGATACACAGGGGGAACAGATTTACCTGGATGCAGCATTTTTGTTTTTTCTAAGATTGTATATTTTAGTTTGAATGGTTTAAAATTGCTTTTCTGTTGTACTGTGTTGTACTATTGTATTTTTAAAAAGTGATTAATTTATTTTTGATTGTGATTTCCCATTGTTTAAACTTGTGCACTCACGGTTAACATTAAAAAGACTGGTGGTATTTTACTTGAGATAAAACAAATATCAAACATGAAAATAACAGAAAATTGGAATACAAACACCTACCCTGTTGAAAAAAACAGCATACAGGTGCATCCCAATAAATTAGAATGTCATGGAAAAGTTCATTTATTTCAGTAATTCAACTCAAATTGTGAAACTCGTGTATTAAATAAATTCAATGCACACAGACTGAAGTAGCTTAAGTCTTTGGTTCTTTTAATTGTGATGATTTTGGCTCACATTTAACAAAAACCCACCAATCCACTGGAAATTCAGTTCGCCATGAAGCACTATCTGATGTCAAAACCATTGTAAGTCAGTCGACTCTAATTTTCGTTAAGTTAAACTATTTGTACAAATATTGGTTTATTTTTATTGTTTATTATAATTGTTCCATTTAAGCTTATAGCCTCCCAAAACAACAGATGGGCTAAATTAAAGTTTATTGATTTCAGTGGCGTACAGAATTTCCCGTGCCTTTGTGAAACGCTTGATCAATATAGCAGATAATTTGCAGACAAACATAAAAAAAAAACTAGGCTAGTTTGCTGCAAACGAGTAATTTTAATATAAAGCTTCCATTTTTTTTATCAGGTGCAGATGAGTTTTATATGTATCCTACCACAATGTCAATACATATTTGTGACACATTTCTATGTGTGAACGGTTTTGTGACTGCTGTAAATAGAGCTGTATGGTGATGATCTGTTGTTGCCGTTCCTCCATATATTGTAGTTTTATATAATGCCACTAGAAAGCAGTGCAGACTCATTCATACAAGTTTGTATGTGATGCAAGAATTTCCATTTTAGTTTACACTAATACAAAGGAAGTAAAGGTAAATTTAGTCAAAATGTAGCTAAAATGGGGTCTCTTAGACTATGATCTGACTTGGAAACTGGAATGTGAAACTGATATCAAATCAAGCTAAATTTAAGCGTCCTCACTACACAGGATCTTCACATCGCATCTGTACTTCCAACTAGGGCTGGGAATCGATTCCAAAAAGAATCGATTCCGAGGCGTTGGGAATTGAGAGTCGATTCCAAAGGAAGCATACAGTCATAGTAAACTTCATCATTTAGCTGAACTGTGCACATTTATTTTAGACACCGGACTCGATTCCAAACATTTCAAAATAGCCCTACTTCTAACCTGGACATGAAAGTTTCAGAATCACCTACTATTCTGGATCATTCTTTGCCAGAAAAAAAATCCCTGTCTTTTTTAATGTTCTTTAAAAATTACTTTTAGTTTTTCAGTCACCTGGCTGCTGAGAGAGAAGAGAGAGACAGGATCTCTGTGTATCTGGAATAGCATTTGAAATCTGATACAGCAAAGACATTTACTGTTTACAAAGATCCACTGCTACTTTCTCCCACGTTCAGCAATGTAACTAGTTTGAGATCAGCAGTTCTATGCTGTGCTGTCTGCAATGCTTACAATATGCTGCTTATCTCCATACATCATTATTGCTTATGAGCTAGCCGCTTGCTGACACTCCTTTAAGGTTGTAGAATATATAGGAGAGCTCAGCGAAGCATTTTAGTCTTAGGAAAGCCACATCTTGGCTCAGACCAGATCAACAACACCCTCATTGTCAGGAGGTTAGACATGTACTGTTATTATTTTGGGAACATATTTCCCTTGATCAGTGGTTTTCAAACCTGTTCCTGGAGCCCTCATGAACTCTTGCATGAAACTGACCCAGGCATTTGAGTCTGCTTGCTGGGGTGGCAGGGTGCTGAGTGAAGCTTTTTCAGGGGATAGATGTTTCTTTGGTGTCAGCTGTTTAAATGCCTCCTCAATTATCACTTGTGAATCATCTCCTGTATCAATATTAAAGTTAAGTGATTTCTGACCTATTTTCATTAGTGCATTACAATGCTATATAAATGCAATACAAGGACATGTACCGGTAATAAAGATTAATACAAATAATAATAATAGCTTATTCGTAGAGAAGAAGAGACAGAACACAAGTACAGCTTTGCAGGAAACATACACTTTAAAAAGATGTGTAATTTTAATGGTAAAATATTGCAAAAATGCTACGAAAAAAAAACCTGTTAATATGTAAACAGTAAGTTCCCGCACCACTATATACAGGGAAAAACTGTAAAAGAGCTAACCAGACATTTCATGTAATTTTACAGTAAAACGCTTTTAATTGTACTGTTTTTTATAGAACAAATCAACATATAATTTACAGTCAAAAACTGTAAACTGATATTCCCAGAATTCCCTGTGTGACACTCCACATTTGAAAGTATTTTGTTTAAATAATCATGTGTCTTAATTGTTTTTGTTAAAGGGGTCATATGATGCGATTTAAATTGTTCCTTTCTCTTTGGAGGGTTACAAGCTCTTGGTGCATACAGAAGGTTACAAAGACTAAAGTCTCAAATCCAAAGAGATATTCTTTATAAAAGTTAAGAGTCAACCACGCCTACCTAAAACGGCTCTTTCTAACACGCCCCCACATACCTACGTCACGATGTGGGAAGATTTGCATAACGCCGCCCAAATGTTCACACAAAGAAAGAAGGCGTAACTTTTATTCTCGCTGTAGTATTGTTGCTGTGGTTAAGTTGTATTTACAACACTGTTCCAGAACAGTTCAACCCAAATATTCAGATGTGTGCAGCACATTTTATGGAGGACGAGGACTGTTTCCTGAGAGAGTAGCCTACAACACTTTTGTCTGTTTCTATAAAGTGGGGCAATTCCAACTTTGCAAGGACCGTCTGGTGCTTCTGACTCACAGACTGTAAGTACGTTGTTATATTTAAAGAATTTGCCGCTGATTCAAACGCGAGTTTTGAGCAGTGTAGAGTAGAGTTTGTAGTTTGTAATTTCTCTGATCACAAATGCAGACATGGTTTTATGTTTACGTGGCGCGATGCAATGCAACGCGTAAAAAGACAGTATAAGTCATTATAATCAGTAATAATGGGGAACTGGATGCAACAAATGCCTCGTTTATAATGGGTTTTACTGGATTTGTCTCGTCGCACATCACAGGGCATCACAGTATGGTAAGGGGCGTAACATTTCCGTCACACGCTTGAGGTATTCGGCCAATCACAACGCACTGGATAGCTGGCCAATCAGAGCACACCTCGCTTTTCAGAACGATGAGCTTTGTAAAAATCTATGCGTTTCAGAAAGGCGGGGCATAGAGGAGAAACAATAATGTACATTATGTGGAAAATAATGTGTTTTTTTAACCTTAAACCGTATAAACACATTTCATTACACCAAATACACAAAATAATGTTATTTTTACCAATGTCATATGACCCCTTTAACAGTTGTGTACATTGAAGTGAATAACAATGACTATATCATTACAATGGCACCTGTCAAAGAGTGGGATATTTTAGGAAGCAAGTGACCAGTTTTGAATTTCATGTGTTGGAAGCAGGAAAAATGGGCAAACAAAAAGGTCTGAGTGACTTTGATAAGGGCCAAATAGTGCTGGCTAGACGACTGGGACAGAACATCTCTAAAACGGCTTGTGGTGTGTTCCCGGTATGCAGTGGTTGGTACCTACCAAAAGTGGTGCAAGGAAGGACAACTGGTGAATCGGCATTAGGGTTATGGGCACCCAAGTCTCATTGATGCATGTGGGAAGCGAAGGCTAGACCATCTGGTCCAATCACACAGAATAGCTACTGTAGCTCAAATTTCTGAAATATTTGTTTCTTTATTTTTTGCCAGTAGTGTTCATTTCAGATGGAAACAGGGATGGAGCAGTGAATGTAGCAAGAGGAGTGGTTGAAAAAAAAAAATAGGAAAATGCTCTTCCACACACAAGATCAGTCAGGAAAATATTAAGAGCAATAAGAGCTAGTTGTTAGTTTTTAAAAATAGATACATATTCCCCAGATATTGAAAGGGAGTAGGTCAAATAGCTGTTTAAGCCAGCTAACATTCTTTTTGGCTTATCACCAAAATATGTATAAGCTGGCCTTGCTTCAGCAACAAGCTTTAATATACAGGCATTTTTATTTTCAATGTTCTGAAAATAGTTTAGGCACTAACATTTTTAAATTTGTCATTGCATAGACAAGACAATTCACAGTAGCTGCGAGACTTTGTTAATTGTAATTTACTATGGACAAAAATGACAACAAAACCAACACTCAACTTTATGTTGCATATTTGAAAGACACTTTAATCCAAAGTGACTTGTATTGCAATCTAGGTATACATTTCATAAGTTCATGCATTCCCTGACTACATTAACATTAAAATTGTGAGCGCCGTGTGCTACTGGTTGATATTAAGAAACTCTTAAGCTTCATTGACACATTTTTAAAACAGACATATGATCCTCTGAATTCATGTGGCTTCCCTAAACAAATGGCCAATACTTACAATACATTTGCCTTGTTGTGTCACTCTAAGAAAATCTGGATGCTAGATCAAGGTTTTAGCTTTATATTTTTTGCTGGATTCATTAAATTAGAATTCTGTCACCACGTCTAGAAAGAATCTGCCAATTAATTTTTAAAAGCTTACTGATTATTCTTGTGCCAGCAATATCCTGTTTCTTTGAAGAACAATATTAAAGAAATATATGGGAGCTTTTCATGAATATATGGGAGCTTTATTTGCGCTGTCTGCGGTAGTATAAATTATTTGGAATTAATGCAAAGTATTGATATAATGCCACACTTTCATTCATCTGTTTTTACAGCTTTTCACTTCAAGAGATAATTTGACAGGATTACAATATTTAGTAGAAAAAAGAAAATAATTGTTTCCAACCTTGTATGGCATCTAATAATGTATGCCATCTAACATAACTGATCAATTCTGA